AGAAATAAATGCACTTTTTGCACCATTCTCAGGGTAGAAAGCGGTGGGTTTGCTGGGAAAATCACTTTATTTGGGCCCTCACGCCACCAGGCCTCCATTTCCCAGCATGGCTGTGGTGATCTCTGCAGCTTGTTCTGAGGATGTTTGGAAAACAGAGCTGATTTAGAATGTGGAAAAGTTATTTGATATCCAACATGGACCAGGTTGGGTTACAATGGATTTTTTATTTTTTAAATGTAGTCAGTCCTCATTAAATCAGGTTCAGAAGTGCCCTTCAGGGTTTTAAAATAACCTTGGCTTTTGCAGGCCCAGCTTTTGAATCCTTGGTTTAGTACAACACACAGGAGTTTAGTCCCTGTAAAAATGAGATCTGCAGGGACTTCCATCAGCACAGCCAAACCTCCAGACTGCTTTGATGCATTGTGGCACAAACTGAAGCCTGTTTCCACACTTGTACAGTGCCCAAAATAAAACTTCAGCAGAAATAAACGCACTTTTTGCACCTTTCTGAGGGTAGAAAGCGGTGGGTTTGCTGGGAAAATCACTTTATTTCTGCCCTCACGCCACCAGGCCTCCATTTCCCAGCATGGCTGTGGTGATCTCTGCAGCTTGTTCTGATGATGTTTGGAAAACAGAGCTGATTTAGAGAGATTTAGATTGTGGAAAAGTTATTTGATCTCTAACATGGTTCAGGTTGGGTTACAATGGATTTTTTTTTGTTTAAATGTAGTCAGTCCTCATTAAATCAGGTTCAGAAGTGCCCTTCAGGGTTTTAAAATAACCTTGGGTTTTGCAGGCCCAGCTTTTGAATCCTTGGTTTAGTACAACACACAGGAGTTTAGTCCTGATAAAAATGAGAAAAATGAGGTGTGCAGGGACTTCAATCAGCACAGCCAAACCTCCAGACTGCTTTGATGCGCTGTGGCACAAACTGAAGCCTGTTTCCACACTTGTACAGTGCCCAATAGAAACCTTCAGCAGAAATAAATGCACTTTTTGCACCATTCTCAGGGTAGAAACCCAGGTTTGCTTCCCCACGCTGCCTCATGCCTCCTGTGTGATTCCTGACAAGCCATGGGACGCGCAGCTCCTGGAAATGCTCAGATTTGTTATTCCACGTGAAAATAAACCAACAACTCGGTGTCTGCTCTGCTCCCAGGTGATCACCTACTCCGGGGGCCGGGTTTACGATGACCTGAACGAGGAGCAGAAGGGCCGTGTGTCCTTCACCTCCAACTTCCTTGCTGGAGATGCATCCCTGCAAATCATCTCCCTGCAGTCCAGTGATGCGGGGAAATACATCTGCAAGGTCAAGAACGCCGGCCAGTACGAGTGGGCTCTCATCACCCTCAAGGTCGTGGGTAAGGACAGCTCCTTGCGCTCCCAAAGGGAAAAAAAAAAGAAATCCAGACTCAATTCCTGGGGAGAGGTTGGTTTCAGCAGGGTAGAAATACACAGAGACACCTCAAGGTTGGGTTTCAGCGCTCAGCTTTAAATCTGCCTTTTCGTTTTTTGGCTACAGGAAGAGCCTAAGGAATTTGAGGTTGGTGTGATAGTACTGAAGTGTGATATCTCAAAAAATTCCTAAGATCATCTCATGCACAATGGCTCCATCATGAAAATATCAAGATTACCTCTCAAGACTGGGTTTTAGTGCTCAATTTTAAATCTTCCTTTGCATTTTTTGGCTGCAGGAAGAGCCTAAAGAACTGGTCTGAGGTTGGTGTGATAGCACTGGACTAAGTACTGAATCCTCAAAACAATTCATAAGGATCATCTCATGCACAATAGTTCCAGCATGAAATTATCAAGGTTCCCATCTGATTACATCTCTAGTAGGTTTCTCCCGAGCATTTTCTGGCTCTCATCACCCTCAAGCTCGTGGGTAAGGAAAGCTCCTTGTTCTCCCAAAGGGAAAAAAAAAAAAGAAATCCAGACTCACTTCCTGGGGAGAGATTGGTTTCAGCAGGGTAGAAATACACAAAGATATCTCAAGATCAGGTTTTAGTGCCCAGCTTTAAATCTTCCTTCGCATTTTTTGGTCACAGGAAGAGCCTAAGGAATTTGAGGTTGGTGTGATGGTACTGAAGTGTGATACCTCAAAAAATTCATAAGATAATCTCATGCACAATGGCTCCATCATGAAATTATCAAGGTTCCCATCTGATTACCTCTCTAGTAGGTTTCTGCCTAGCACAGACGCCTCAAGATCAGGTTTTAGTGCCCAACTTTAAATATGCATTTGTGGTTTTGGCCACAGGAAGAGCCTAAAGGACTGGTCTGAGGTTGGTGTGATAGCACTGAACCCTAAAACAAATTCATAAGGATCATCTCATGCACAATGGCTCCACCATGACATTATCAAGGCTCCCACCTGATCACATTTTCAGGTTTCTGCCTAGCCATAGACACCTCAAGACTGGGTTTCCAGCGAGCAGACTCTGCTGCGATGCCATGACCTGTGTTCTCCCTGCAGAGAAGCCCTCCAAGCCCAAGTGCTGGCTGGAGGGGGAGCTGCTGGA